AGATGTCATACAGGCACATAGCCAGGATTGAAATTAGGTTGCTCTTCACTCCCAACTTTTAAATACTAATAAATAAAATAATTTGGTATAAGTCTGGGTTTGTCAGTGCTTAAGGTCATCGAATGTCACTTCTGGGACAGAAACACAAGTTTGTTACACCGCCCTTCGTTGAAATCCGCAACGGAAAAGAACGCCCTAGAGCGTTAAGTCTCTAGAACTTAGGTTTTTAAAAATGGAGAATTAGACCAGTTTTTCAAACTTATTAAAGCACACCCGGCTGGAATTCGTAAGGGAAGAGACGTCCATGACTCCCAAAAGCTACTTGGCGCAGAACAGTAATGAAAGATTGTCAGCTTAATATGCGGAAAACGAAGTTGTACAAACTAGGTGACAGAGTCAGCAACAGAGTCAGATTGAAAGCCTTTTGTTTTAACCTAAGCTCCACATAGGAAAATGGTTACAGTAAGTAAGCAAGTAAATACCATCGAAGGGTAGAAAATCCATCTATCCACAGTTTATTTCACTAATTCGAAGCTCAAAATTTACTTTAGTTTTAGAACATAATAAATTGGATAGTCTATAATAGTCTGCTTTCATTTCTTTTTATAAGCGACCATTGAACAATTTATTCCTAGTTGCAGGCAATTAAACACTTTGATATGAAACTAAAGGACACTAAAGCTATGGTGAGTCTCAGGTTATAAGCTAGTCCTAAATTCAAGCTCCAGAGCATCATCAAGAAATTGAACCTTAAATAGTCGAATCTGTTAAAACGTGAGTTAAGCCACTGAATGCTGAGTAGCAAGGTGTCAGAATCAAAATTTGAAATTTTCTGATGACAAGAGTTCGATTCCCATCACAGTTCAATCTTCAACTTTGTGAATGTAGTTGATGTCAATAAGACATTTATTGCTATAGTACTTAAATGCTAACAAGCAGCATCATTTATAAAAATTCAACATTCGAACTAAACAAAGACATGGCTTGACAATGATACAGCCTGTCATTCGAACCATCTCATCATAACAATAGAAAAATTCCAAGAACTTCTCAATAGCTCTGTTTTTTCCCAAAGATTCTCAGCTTGGAAAATTCTCTTACTCACCAAAGTTCCAAGAAAAGCCACAAGCTTCGAATACACGCAAAGAACATCTTATTTTCAAAAATAAGAATAGGAGTGTGTAGAATATAAAATACGCCTGACCTTAATTTTGATGAAAGTCAATCGTTATCTTTGCCTTTTTTTTTTTGTTCATTCAAACAATTTTCATTTTTGCTGCAGTTGTAAATTTTTATTTCATAAGTAAAAAGAAGTAAAGAAAAGAACGACGAAAATATTTTTGTTGTGCTGAAAGAAAGAAATGAAAAATGAAAATTTTTAACGATTATAATGAGTTGATGTAGCTATATAAAAACTTCCTTTTTCCATTTCTTTATACATAGGCATCTAATCGTGTCATATTTTTCTTATGACCTTCTATCTTCTTTCTTTTCTTCTCCGCTCTTTCATCCATTCTTGAAATGTGCGTTAGGTTTCTTAATGGCCATATATACAGCATTGTCACGATTCAAGTATATCTATTGGATAAATCTGTCGCTTATGCCCATATAATAATTCGGGGCATGTTGATACTACACTTATAATATCATAGAAGCTCTCTGGGGTTGTTTAGAAGTGATGTAGGCTAGAAATTGTGATTTTGTTACTTTATTAAAGTTTTGTGACGATGGTTTTAGACAGCTGAGTCTTGATAACTTTGTAAGACTGTTGGGTCCTTTCAAGTACTACTTCATTCTATTCTTTGTTGCTTTAGTTCTCCAGAATGCTATTTACCTATCTCTTAGCTTATTGCCATCATGTCAACATGCAATCCTTGCTCCCCCTCTGTAACCCCTTTGTCATACCACAAGCATACCCTATTTATAGTATTAAACTGTATTTATAGTAAAACATCAGCATGAAGAAGCTTCTTACAAATCCCAGCATAGCTTCATCCCCCTCCCCCATAATTATTTGACGTCATTTACAAACAACCCTAGTCTTCCTCGAAAAGGAAGAGAGAACGAAAAAAAGGAGAAGTGCACAAAAAAAGAGTCAAGCACAAACAATTTTATGACATGTTTGGGGAATTTTCTTCTATTCACATTTTTTTAAAGCTAATTTTACTGTATGCGACATCAACAATAGCAAATGATGACTGAGGGGTTCTCAAGGAATGACGATTTTCCTTTCTTTCCATATTCATTGTTGTTGCTTCTTCCTTCCCTTCTTTGTCGTCTTCGTCTTCAACTTGTTTGTTTGGTTATACTCGTTCATGAATGTGTAATAAAGATTTTCCACTGATTTTTTTTTTTTGCTACTCTCTCGGAGACTAAGTTGCTCTTCCTTTCCGTCTTCATGCATAAGAAAGACTTTCTTTATGTTATGCTTTCATTTTACTTTATTTACATCATATTGCTGTGCATACATTATATGTATGTAAAAAATTTCTTGAGCCAGATGGTGCTACAGTATTTTGTGAAGAAGTCAATGGAAGCACAATTTCGCTAAATATTGCTGATTTTTTAAAATGTTTTCTTTTTTTCTCTTTTGTGCTTTTATGTTTTTTTGGAAGAAAATGAAATTTTATTTTAATATTGCCTCAATTTAACTTTCATTCGACATTCTTCCATCAGTTCAATCCCGAGTAGTAGATTGTGGGATTTGGGGTTGTGTGGTGATCGTAAATGATGTTACATATGATGTTGGAGTAGAGTAAAATCTGAAGTAAGAAGCCATATATAGGCAAATTGGTCAGAACGAGAGTAAGGATGCTCTGTTGCTTGGTAGGAAGAGAACATACTGAAAATATATAATCTTTGGAAGAATGGAGGTTCAATTCCTACCAAAGAACGATCTCTCTCAATCATTACATAGGCTGTTGTTAATATGACAAGGAATTGAACAGTGCTCAGAACTTTATAAGATTTAAGAAAATCATGTATAATTCTGGATGTAATTTGCTTATTTTAACTTTAGCTGATTATTCAATATTTTTATGATTGTCTTAATGTTGTTGTATTAATGACCTTCAATTTCTTCTGTCTTTTAACCTGGATTGGTTTATTTTGTGCACCTTTTGGTCGTCCTTACTGTTATCTCCTTCATATGAATGTATAGCTAATACCTGAGCGAAGCTGAGTCAAATCTATACCGTCTGCCTTCTTTTTTAAAGGTTTTATGAAGAAAACCTGTCTTAAGAAACTTGCAGTTGGTTACTGTCGACATGACTAGGATTCGTACCTATGTTCATGACTTGGGAATTTTAAAACTACAAAGCTAGCAAGCACTATTGTTTATATGATGAACATTAAAATATTATAGCTCATTAAGAAACATTCCAAACTTCGTGTGACCTATTTTTCCCAAAACAATAAAAATAATCAAGGACTTCCATTAAAACAACTCAAAATATAAATCTCATCAGAAAATTAAGATATTTCATTCCAACATATCCCAAAAAACAACAAATCAAGATTCACATCCACTCAAACCATATACCGCATGGGTTCCATGCTTTTAGATTAACAATGTATTGATATTGACGTAAAAACAGCTGACAATATTGAAAAAAACAAAGTTTCTCTGTTTTATTTTGTTGGACATTGTAAGTGCTTAAATAGGCTGTATATAAGCTACACATGTATAATAAAAACAATTTTTATTTCTTCCTTGATGAATTCAGTCATAAAAAAGTTTATTAACTCATTTTCTAATCTGTATTGCGTCGTAGAGGAAATTATTTTTTGTGGATTTTTATATTTTTGTTGTATGGAGACAAGATTTATATCATCTTTTTATTAATTTATGTATGCTTATAGGAAATTGTTTGAAATCTTGTATTTTTGATGACATAAAGTCACAAAATTATCAACACCAAATCCAATTTTAATGAAATAAAATCTTATTGTCCACAAAAAATTGAGTTGACTGTCGATGTCACAAACTTTTGACCTTATTTCATTATACAGTTCAATGTAGCACAAGTGACCCTAAGATTGTGTTGGATAGTAAATATTTTAAGGGGTTTTGACTATAAGAGATGTGAAATATTCAGTATAAAAGACTTTCTGTGTGTTTTTTAAATTGTTGGTTTTATGAACGAACTCTTATAAGTTATGTAAAATCTCAGGCTTAGCTGAAAGTCAATAAAGTGCTCTGGTATCTAAAAATTAATGAGTGTAGCTGATCCATCCACGATCTATCAAAAATTCAAAACCTTAGGAAGAAACCTACCTAATTTACCTTTATTATGATTCTAGCTTCTTAAAAAAAGATACAACTATTCACATCCCTTCCTATATCTAGTCCCATCTACGCATCACATCACATTGTCCCACAGTCTGCTAAATTTTATGATCGTGAATATTTTTTTTGACTGAATTTTATGACATCAAAATAAAATTTATGTATTTCCTTTTGAAAGGGAACAAAAAAATAATTTTTATAGTTTTTTGATGGTAAATCGACAGAGTTCAATGAAAATGTCATGTATTCTCTTATGTCTACATCATACACACAAAAAAAAACTATAGAGGAGGACGAAAATAAAACAAAAATTGAATATAGAGAGGGAAAAGTCGAAAATTGAATTCAATAAAAACAAATCGACAATGGCACAAAGCCACGAATCTCTGTCATAAAAAACCGAGAAGAATTCATTAACATTTTTTTTTTTATCCCGGCGGCAGCAAAGCTTTTAGATTTTTCCGTATTTTGTTTGTTATTCCCAGCAACAAGTAACGTGGAGAAAGATTTATCGCATTTGCTATTCTTTAAGTACTTATCATTATTATATTTGAATATATTTATTTTTTCTCCCTTAAAAAAATTATGCAGTTTTAGTGGAGTTACTTCTTGTTACTATAGGAAGAAGCTAGAGGCAGAGGATTTAGAAAGTTTATGAGTTATTGAATTATCATATCAAAATAACCTTGAATAGAATCGTCATTCGGCTGTAAAAATATTTGGTAGTGTATTAAAATTCGGTTATTTTTTATTTGGGACTGTTTATGCTGGTTACATATAATCAACTTGTTCTCAAGAACAAGGCAAGACTCTATAAGTAATTTTAGAAAAATGAATTTAAATGGCTATCACTAGAGTTACCAGTAGGGAACTACCTTCTCTTGTGTCTAGATTATACATTAGGTTTTTCTAGTGTAAACTTAATTAATAGTTTAACTTTTTGGATGTCCAAACAACACTCTAGAGCAGTGCTGTCAAAAGAGAGTCTTGGCTTTATCATACGATGAAACTCAAGAAGTGAAACATAGGCTCTAGAATGTTGTCTTAAGAATTATACTTGCTATTACATATTAATAAAATTAAAACTTGAACATTTATCAGAGTCATTAATCCATTATCGCCATTTTCTTCAAATTTTCCTCAAACTTTCTGTTTGCTTCTTCTTTATCCTTAAACATGTCAATAATAAACTTCAATTTATCAGGATTTTCCAACAATTCATCCCTAAACTTGAAATTTGGATATTTCTTCTTAACTTCTTCAAAAGCTTTTTTCTTCAACTCATATTTCTGAAACTTGGCACTCAAATTGAGAATTTCCAATGCATTTTCTGGATTAACTTGATCAAGAAGCTTTTCAGCAGCGCAATCAATAAGTTTTTTAAGTTTTAAACGTCCGGCAGCAGCAAAGATGGGCAGTGCACTTGATTTATTCTCAAATGCTAGTTCATCAGTGTAGAACCATTTCAAAATTTTTTCAAAAATAGGAATTGGAATATCAACCAAGTTGAGGCTTTCAACATCTGGATTGTTACGTAAAATATCTCCCAAAGTTGGACTTCGAATAATCAGCAAAAACTTATGAACTAAGAATTCTTGATCGTCTATTATAATTTTGAAATCTTTGGAATTTTCATCACGAATGAAGTTTTTAAAATCAGCAGTTACATCGTAAGTCAAATGATTCGTTAACATGTTTTCCATTTTTTTCTTCAACTGATTATTTTTTAATTTTAAATGTTCTTCGGAGTTTTTTAAATCTTGAAGAAAATCATATCTTGAGTAGAACTTTTCATATAATTCATTTTTGACTTCTTCAAGAGTTGCGTTCGGATTATGAACAGGATAAATTGAAAAAAAATTTTCATAACGTGGATTTTCAGAAAAATTGACCATTTTGAGTTCTTCTAACCCGTTTAAAATGTTTGGTTCAATTAAAGTCAACTTATTTCCTTTGAAATTTATAATACTTAAATGTTTAAAATGCTGAAATAAATCTCCAGGTAGAAATTCTATTTCATTTTCAACAAAAGAAATAATTTCCAAATTTCTGTAATCAATCAGATCATTTTTGCTAATTTTCTTTAATTTGGAATTGTAAATCACCAGATTCTTCAAATTTGGAAATATTAATGTAAGTTCTTGTGGAATTGATGTAACTATACAATTATCAAACTTAATATGATTTACATCATTGTTTGTCTTATTACACTCGTGAGTTCGAGCAATATCTAGTCTTCTGTTCCCTGGAGGCTGTGTCTTATTAATTAGACCGCAATAGTAAGTTTCTCCGTGGTCAAATAATAAAGTTTTAAACTGACAATAAACAACCATTTTAGTTGAATTAAAACAATTAAATTAAAAAAAATTAAGTCTGTTTGATTTGTTGTCAAACAGTTCAACAAAATTAAACCAAGTTGTGAGTCGCGAAAAAAATCGTTGATTAATTTAAATGTAAATAAACCGTTATGATTAGTCTTAAAAGTTTCAACTTTTATAGTTTTATTAATTTTTTTGTTTTGACTCAATTGTTGACACTGATTTGATTCGATCTTTTGAATAATACTTAGCTCTTCAGGATCATAAACTCCCCTGACATTTTATGAAGGACCTTTCAATTTTGAAAAATCTTGAATAAAATCCTGATTGAAGCTAATTTTATTGTTTTTGCTTTAATACAATTAGCTTTTGATAAATAACTGCGATTTAAAGTTAAAAATTTTTTTTAAAAAATTTCAAAAAATTTGTATGAAATTTCAACCTCAAGGGGGGTGCCCGAGCACCTAAGGCCCCCAACCACTGGCTACGGCCCTGTTGAAAAGCATTAAGAAACAATGTTCAATATAAGAAATTGCCTTATCGTTGTTAGTGAACTTCTAGCAAGGCTACATTTCTAACATTTCTTTGAATTTTTGTTCAAATTTCCTGATTGCATCTTCCTTGTCTTTAAACATTTCAACAATATTATTTAGCTTTTCTTGATTTTCAAGCCACTCATCTCTCACATTTGGATACTTTCTTTTGAATTCTTCAATTGCTTTTTGTCTCAATTCTTTATATTTGAATTTGTTGCTCAATTTAAGGATTTCTAATGCATTTTCTGAATTTACTTGATTAAGTAGCTTTTCAGCTGCGAAATTTGTTAACCTTTTGATTTTTAATCGGCCAGCAGCAGCAAAAAGTTGTAAAAAGTTTGTACCATAAAACCCTGGAAGTTCGTCAGTGTAAAGAAAATTCAAAATTTTTTCAAAAATGTGAATCGGGATGTCAACTAAGTTTAAGGTTTCAACTTCTGGATTATTTCGTAAGACTTCAGCTAAAGTTGGGCTTCGAATAATTAACAATAATTTGTGAACAAGAAGTTCTCTATCGTCGATTACAATTTTAAAATCTTTAGAATTTTCATCTTGAATGTATTTTTTGAAGTCGTCAGTTACATTGCTAGTAAAATTGAACGTTGTCTTGCGTTCAATATGTTTTTTTAATTCATTGTTCTCCAGCTTCAAATTTTGGGATGAGTTTTTTAACTCTTGCAAAAAATCAAATTTCAAGTAAAACTTTTCGTATAACTCGTTCTTTACTTCCTCAAGTGTAGCGTTCGGCTTGTGGACAGGGTAAATTGAGTGCCATTTTTGATATCTTGGATTTTCAGAAAAACTTACATATTTAATTGCTTTCAGATTATTCAAAATATTTGGTTCAATGAGAGTCAATTTGTTTCTCTCAAAGTTTATGTAATTTAAAAATTTAAAGTTGTCAAACAGATCTCCTGGCAAATATTCAAGTTCATTATCCCTCATTGAGATTACTTCTAAACTCTGATATTCAAATAAATCACTTTTGCTGATTTTCATCAATTTTGATTTGCAAATCGCCAAGTTTTTTAAATTAGGGAAAATTATTGTAAGTTCTCGAGGAATTTTGAAAATGATACCATTTTCAAATAAAATTTGGTCAACATCATTATTGGTCTTTCCTTGGTCATGTTGTCCAGCAATTTCCAATCTTCTATTGTCAGAAAGTTGTATTTTTTCAATAACACAACAATAATATTTTTCTCCGTGTAAATATGTAATGCTTCCATACAGACAACTTATCATCGTTAAGCTTTGTTAAACAGAAACGTTCATGTAAAATTAAAGCTGCTTATTTTATTGTTTATTTTTACAAAAACTTACATTTTAAAATATTTGCAATTATTAAAAGTTGAATGACTAATTCACATTTTGATAACAAATTAAATTAATTTAAATTTTGATGGACCGTTGCGAACATTGTCGAAAACATAGCAAATTTTTAAAACTGATAATGTTCACAATCTTTGTTGTGAAGTTTAATATGAATTCAATACTGCATTTAATGCAAACCTTGAAAAATATCGTAGAATAAAATTAATTTTAAATCAACCAAAAATATAAAATGTTATTTTTGATAATTGTTCCAAGTTTTAATCCATTTCCAACATTCTCTTAAACTGATTTTCAAATTCTCTTTTAGCTTCTTCTTGTTTTCTCAGCAATTCAATAATATTTTGTAATTTTTCTGGTTTTTCAATCCATTCGTCTTTAAAATCAATTTTTGGATACTTTTTTGTCATTTCTATAAATGCTTTACTTTTCAATCCTCCACAGTCGTACTTGTGACTTAAGTTTAGAATTTCTAACGCATTTTCAGAATCAATTTGAATACTCAAATAATCAGCTGCAAAATTTTTGAGTTTTTGAATTTTTAACTTCCCAGCAGCAGCAAAAAGGTGCATGAAATTTGTATCAGCCTTGTTTGGAAAGTCATCAGTGTACAGAAATTTTAAAACTTTCTCAAAAATTTCAACTGGAATGTCAACCAAATTTAAAGTTTCAACTTCTGGATTGTTTTGAAGAATTTGAGCTAAAGTTGGACTTCGCAAAATCAGCAGGAATCTGTGGACCAGAAATTCTTGATCTTCTATTGTGATTTTGAAATCTTTGAGGTTTTCATCTTGAATATATTTTTTGAATTCTTCACATAGATTTTCTTGATTTTCAACTGGATGTTTGGAGTCGATTTTAATCTGACCGACTTTATCTGAAGCAAGTGTTTCTGACTTTTTCAATTCTTCAATTTTACTCTTTAACTGAACTTCAGAAATTCTTTGTTCTTTCAAAAATTTAAATCTCGAGTAGAACTTTTCATTAAGTTCAGTTTTAACTTCATCAAGTGTTGCGTTTGGCTCATGAACTGGATAAATCGAAAAACATTTCTTATAATTTGGATTTACTGAAAAATTCACATATCTCATTGTCCCAAGTCCGTCCAAAATATGTGGTTCGATGAACATTAGCTTGTTCTTCTTGAAATTGATATAATTTAAATTCTTAAAACCTTCAAATAGGTCACCAGGCAGGTATTCAAGCTCATTCTCCATCATAGAAACTATTTCTAAATTTTTGTACTCAACTAAATCCTTTTTGCTGATTTTTCTCAACTTTGAGTTACAAATGAGTAATTGTCTCAAATTTGGGAAGATTGTTGTTAGTTCTTGTGGAACTTTTATTACTGTACAATTTGAAAAACTAACATGAACAACATCTTTTTCTGATTTGTCATCCTTAAATTTCCCAGAAAAAGAAATCATTCTATTTTCAGGTGTGTGAGCATTTTCTACTGAACAGGCATAACAAGTCTCTCCATGAGCAAATTTCGTAAATCCTAATTCACAGTGGATACCCATTTTTCTGTATAAAAGAATTGAATTTTAGAAAATTATTTTTATTTGAACTTTTCACATTTTTATATGTTTTTGATTTTATCTTAATTGATAAACTTAAATGAAATTAGTTTGAAAGGAAACCAACAAACTTACTTTTTAATATTTAAATGCAATTTCACTAGGTTTAAATTTAAAATTATGCTTTGATGCTCAAACCACAAAGTGAGTCACAGAAGTTTAAAATAACAAAACATATCTCAGCTGTTTTTGTTATTAAACAGCTTAAGCGACCTTAATCCTTTAGTAATATCATTAACTTAATTTAAATTTTAAAAAACCGTTAATTTAATTAGCGAACAACAAAGGTAAGATGTATAAAGTTTCAAAGTTATCTCTCACCTTGATGTAGCTCTAAGCTAGCCAGGATATTTTTTATAAGGCAGAAGATTAACACGCAACGTTAAAATTATAATTGTCATCTATAAATTTCCCATCAAAAGCAAAAATCAATCCAAGGCATTGCCTTTAGAAAGGCATCAAAATCTACCTTTGTTAGGGCTTGCCTAGCCAAAGGCTATACTTAGGCAATTTTTCGCCTTTACCTAGGCACTTTCTATACACATGTGTTGCCTGCACAAATACAAAAGCGACAATTTCCCAATTTACTATTGCCAACCTAATTCCAAAAACCATCCTTAATGTCATTAGTCGATTACGAGCCTATAACGTTAAGAATATTAATGCACAAATAATAACATGTCGTGTTTGATTTGTGTGTAATTTTTAGAAATGCATAAGTTTACCGATCATTAAATTACATTTTTTTTTTTATGAGAAATTTATTGCCAAGACTGAAATCCAATACAAGGAAGAGAAAGAACAAAAATTTATTGTCTTCTCTGTTTACTTCTCTTCAAATATTTCAGTTGCCATCAATCAACCGAATGGAATCATTTTCAATAAAAAATGTTCAACTATATTCACATTTCACTTTATCGATATCTATGCCGTTAAAAGTTATAAAAAATCATATCTTTTCAGTAAAATCAATGAAGGAAGAACAGAATGAAATTGCTAAACATTATCAAAATATAAAGGAACATAAAAGAGAGAATTGGGGGTGTTTGGATGTTATGGAAAGGATTATAAGGGCCCTTTGCATGGTTGGTGGCCTGGCAGAGTTCTTACAGAATGTAAATGCTGATAAGGAAGTTTGATCTAATAAGTAAGAACTTCTTTGAGTCCTCTTAAAGTTTTTGATAAGTTTGGGGAGGTTCCGGTCTCTCAAGGGGACTCAGATTTTCCGTTTTAATACTTTTCGTTAAGGAATCTCGTCATTTCAATACAAAACAGGCTTCAGATTTCATCCGACTCCATTTGGTCACTAACCAGTTAAATGCTTCTGCTTGCTACGCACCTAGCTTTAAAAATTAAATTTCTGGGTTACATCATATCCTAACGTACCCCAAAGAAGTAAAAAACGAAAACAAACTAAACTTTACCATGATTTAAAAATAGATATTAGGATATGGTAGAATAGAGAATGAATGCGATATGGCTGGCGCAGTAAAAGCAACTATAAACCGTCGCTTTAACTTTATTCTTCGTACCACTAATCGATATCGCGTTTTTTACCATTCAAATTCTCCACCTTACATTTTTTTTTTCGCTATCACGTGCCCTACTAATACATTTTTTGCCTTACTCGTTGTAATAAATATATCTCATAAAAATAAAATATCCGCAATCGGAGTTAACATAAAAAATCGCTTTAAAGGCTGATAGCGGTGGATTTTTTTTGGCCTACATGAGTGATTGTAGTCTTCAATTTTTGTTTTCATCAAGGCTTTTGAAATGTTGCAAAATTTTTATATGATGTGTGGGAATTTTTTTGATGGAATATTTTTTCTGGATTAGAAAAATTATTGGTGGTAATCTACAAGTTGCAGATTTCGATGTCGATTGGATTTTTTTAAGGAATATATGAATTTTTAAAGAACAGTGCTCTCAAGAACCCCGAGCAGATGTTTAGAGTACGTTCAGATAATTTTTGGCTAATGTGCCCAGATTTTGCCTTTGATCTAGAAAAGTCATGCCTTTGCAAAGGTACAATAAAAGCAAAGGCAAAAAATTGCCTTTGACAAAGGCAAAGGCTTGTGCCTTTGATTTCAAATTGCCTACGCTTAGGGCAACCTTTTTTAAAGTCAAGTGCTAGGTATCAACACTGTTTCTACACGATTGATCATATATTTCTAGTGCTTGAAGTACTTTAGTGACGTGGTGGTTAATCTTTTCTGTGTCACTGCACACCTTGATGGTAAGCCATGAATGAAACCGCACACGGCATACGTTTCGTGAGATATTCCGAAATTTTTTGCGGTTTACATGTGCGGCACATGGGTTGGCCATCACTGACTCAGTGTCATAAGTTAGTGGTGTCATGTCGTAATTATTGCAATATGTAGATTGAGAGAATCGATGAGAATCGAACTCACATCCTCAAAAATGATAAGACACAGATTATGACTTGTTGTTTAATTATGCAATAGATCATCAACATTCTCGCCTAGAGATTTGAATATGTTGCATTAATAAACTTTACAATGTTACAAAATAAGCAATCTGGCACAGCCAGACATACTGACAAACAGGTAAAATGATATTCTAGTTTATTTCTGTTTTCAGGAAGCTTAAAAATTCTAAAAATAATCAAATTATTTAAAAAATGGAACACAATAATTTACAAAAATAAGGATCTAATAAATTGACCCAAAACTTCATATTTAAACATTCACAGCCAAATTTAAATTGCATCATCGAATTACAAAAAAAAAATCTGACGTCACATCCATCGCGAGAATATCAATTTACAGCTAATTTCGTTGAAATAATATTCTGAATGTCAAATATAGCATGTACATCATTTCACGCATTGGCATTGATATAGCACGCATCGAGTCATCGAGTTAAGGAAGGAAAAAAAATATGAATATTCGTCAGATTAAGCAAGTCAATGTATGCAGAAACATAAAATTTTATTCATAATATTACAATGATTTCTCATCCATTTAATTATTTGTTCAACCATCGATACTTAATCTGATCATAAAAAGTAAAATTTTTTTTATCGTCATCGTCATTTATATTTGCCATGAGTCGTTTTAATAAATTGCTCGTAAAATTGCTCCGATGCGATAATCAAATTGTGTATCGACAAAAATTGTGCTATAATTAATTTAGGGAATTGTGAGAATGACGAAAGAACAGAAAATATAAGAAAATAGAGAGTTTATTGATGAGGGATGTTGAATATAATTAATACTCATATTGATTTCAATAATGCAGTATAAATCAATTAAAGATTTCTTGCTTTTGTTGTCATCCGTCTATGATGGGAGATTGGAAGGTTAATCATTATGCTCTTGGATTTCATGAGACTTTGATAATTAATTTCAAAAGAGGATGGATGAGAATGAAAATCTGGTTTAATTAATTTTGGAATTAAAGTGATGAGGAATGTTCATTGACTTTGATAAAAGATATTAAGGTGACAAGGATTAATTAATTTTTTTGTCTGGAAACTGAGTTTTATTTTTTTAGGTTCATTAAATGATTGCAAGACAAAGCTGTTCGATGTAAAGAGTTCGATCCTTTTTGAATCCCCCTTACAGATGTGAACGTCTCATGAAAGACATGCAAGCTATGTAAGTCATATCCGGATCTTAAAAGCATGATCCAGTTGGATATAAGTCATGTCCGGAAATAAAAAGTAGGATCTTGTTGGATATAAAAAAACATATAAGCTAGTAATCACATTGAAAATTAACGATTTTTTAAAATTTAAGTTCATTTGTCAATCATATATAAATTATGTGCATAACAAAAACAAAAAAAATTGATAAATTGAGAGAAATTAAGAATAATAATAAATATATGGACGTCCATATTATCATATACTAGCTATCGAATGCAAAAAACTAAGCCATTCAAAGTGGATTTTTAAACGCATTGTTTCCTAAAGAATATGCGCTAAAAACAGAACAGTAAGTTGAAGTGTCTCATTGGCACAGTTGTTTTGGACTCAGGTATATAATTGTTGCTAGCAACACAATCATGTGTTCGAGACTGGGTATTGAAAATTTTTCACTTGTCCTCTTTCGAATCATATGTGCAGAAAATGATATTATTAATCTTTTTTTGTGGCTTATTTGCAGAAATGTCGACAAAATAGCTGTTCAGATTATATTTTAAAACTAAACGTTTAAGTTGTTATAAAACCTAGCAAACCTTTACTCGGTTAATTGCAAGTGGTTCGGATCCCACTATAAACTGTAAGTCTAAAGGGGATGGTACAAACAATTGTTAAGATTTGAACGTTATGCTCTTGAAAAGGACAAGACTTAGATCATCAAGCAAAGACAGTAGATACAGAAAAAGGTGTAACTTATAAATTGCATTTAGCCATATAGTCAGATAACCCCCGATAGCTCAGTGGTAGGAGCATGCGATCAAAAATGGTCGTACACGAGTTCGAGTCCCACCGGGATCTGTTGTTCGAAAGTATTCTTTTTCTGTTAAAACAACATTGATAAGTGTTAAGAAATCGCTCAAACATTTATTTAAATATCTGCTCTGCTCATGACGATTTTATTTACGTTAACATACCAAATGATGCTAAAAATATCTGTGGATACGCACAATCTGCTTTCATAATAATTGTTTTTGCAAATTATTGGATCAAATATCTTGAAAAAATAAAGGAAATGTACATATCAACTTTCTAATCTTTTACAAACGGAAAAAAGAGCTGATCCGATTTTTTATGCTGCCTCGGCAGTATTTTTACTGAACAAATATAAAAAAGGAAATCTTTTTTAAAATTTTATTCTTCTAAAAAGGAGGAAGAATGAGACAAGAAAAAAGTAACTTAAAAAACCCATCATGCATTAAATCTGTGTATATTCACGAAACTCACGCAATATTTCGTTCATCAAGTGTTTACTTATGTGACCCCAGTAACCAAACGTAGAACGTTCTTTCTCGCAGATAATCTTTCTCTTTATATTCTAGTAAAAAACTGGTTTAACTATAGCTGAGAAAAACCAATAAAAAATGCATTAGGTACAAACTTTATATTTTAAACAGATTTTTAGCTAGCTTCAATAACCTAGCTAAAGAATATCTAAATACTATCTTCTTGTACAATAGCCTTTACAATTCTTCATTTTCCTAGCAATTAGCTAACTTTTCCTAGCTAGCTAAAAGTAAGTCTTTTTAAACAAGATTTTGACTAAAATATAATAAATGCGTTTTTTCAGCTAGTTAAAAGAAAGTTAATTACTAATTGCGATTAGAATTTTCCAATTGCTCATGCTCATATTCATAAAAATGTTAATCGAGGTTTGACTTTTAAGAAGTGAACACGTTGTTAGTTGTAGTTGAATAAAAATACATCATTTTAAAAACTTTAGTAATTTAAAGTGCTTAGTTGTAATGGGTAAGTACAAACTTAATCAAGAATTAACAAAGAGTGGACGATATAAAAGAAAAAAATTAATTATTCTCATTTTCCAATTATGCTAATAATTCGTTATTTGAAAATTTCATATTATATAACTTAATTTCTATTTTAATTTAGCATACTGAGCAGTCCTGCCCTAATACTTTCAGTACATCTACAACCAATCAACAAGAAATCCCGCAATCCGACCTAGTTGACAACAATTTATCTTCAATCAAGCAACAAGAAGTTCCACAAAACTCCCAAAACATAAATTGTTTTGATTCAGGTATCAACGCTGATTCACCACGTTACGTATTAGTGGAAGAAGTCGCATTGAAGGTAATATTTTATCAAATTTTGCTACATAAATAATAAGGTTTTAATTCAATAATTTTATTTCTGTAGATTATCATTCAATCTCTTGATGAACTTAAGCTAGCTGTCAAGATATTGTGAGTGGAAATCTGGATTTAAGCAACAATATGCTGACTAAAAAAGTCAACTCGAAAGAAGAACTGGAACTGCTGTCGGAACAGTTACAAAAAGACGACTACAAATCAAAAATGGTGATTATCATATTAACATTCAGCACAAAAATTTGGATTTGCTGACATACTTCTCACCCCCCTTATTCCCCCGGATTCTGTCACAAAGTTAAAATGCAAAAAAATATCTTTTGTATGTACGACTATCACACTGACTCAATCTGTGGAAATTTCCTTAAAACAATATATATATATATACAATAAAATAACAACAATTGAAATTCGTGGAATTCGAACGAATTATAGATTTAAACGAATTATAGAAATAACATAAATAAAAGAGAAACAAAAGAAATATCAAAAACACCTAAATTTTGAAGAATTTTTCAATCTTTTTTTTTATTTTCAGTTTTACAATTAATGTGAATTTAAAGTATGAGATTAAAAAGCTATATGTATAGTGTTAAAAGATTGGTATTTGTATATTGTAAGAAGATAGCTATTTATGTATTGTTAGAAGACAGTAACTATTAGATAGCTAGATGCACGGTTCAAAAAGTTAATAAAAAGCTGGTTGAATAATTAAAATGTAGCTGGTTAAAAGACAGCTTAAAGACAGTCTGTAGACTAGTTGCTGTAGACTGTCTAATAGGGGCGGACGTCGCAACTCTGTGTCTAGACATAAAAGATAGTTTTAAACTAGTATATAGAGAATTCGTAGCTAACTGTGGATTCGCTATATACTAGATTTTGGTCACTGGGGTGAATTATGTATATTTACTTTCATGAGAAATCGGATATTATTTTTCTTTATTTAAAATCATCGGATTTTCCCTTCTGATAATATCTCAAAGAAAACGAAGATATTTTTTTTTTCGTTTCCTGGTCTTGCTGGCGTCTTTTTTTCAGTTTATTTTACGTATTTATTTTTTACAGTCGATTGACCATCAATAGCAGTCGAATTTGGAACTGTGATGAAAATTGAAATTTGTTTATTAGCTGATTTAATCTCATTTCATTTCTCGTGATTTCTCATCTTTTCATGATTTTTTTATTTTGTTTGCCTTCTCGGAAATGTTGTTGTTGAATAATTTTTATGAATGGATATGAAAATAAGGCAAATTATTGAAAAGCTATCAAGGAAATTTGTGTTTTATTTCTAGGAAGGAGAACTAAGAGTTTAATGAATGAATGGAAGATGTTGGTTGGTTGATCCAATGTGTAACCGATCTAATCAGTTTAAATCTCTTTATCAACTCAATCTTTAAAGATCTTGTTGAATATTGATAACAATGTCGTGAGTATTCTGCAAAGAGTATCGAACTCATGTCTTCACAACAGGATTATATTTATCCAGTCTTTTGTCTATCCACTCGGACATAACCTCTCCAACTCGCAGATTCGTCTTGATATATAGCTCTATCTCAGATCCTGTCAAGAATTAAGAATCCTGCCCTTGATGTTCTTAAAATTCTCATTAAATCCACCAAAAAATCAAATAAGACAAAATTTTGTTCTTCAATATCTTGATTACTTTCTTCTTTATCATCTTATACCATCCATTTTTTTTCTCATTGCAATTTCCACAATACTCATTGTCAAGAACAAAAAGGCAATGAAAAACAAATATTATATTTATTATAAGAAATCTTGGCTGAACATGAAAGAACTGTACAAATAACAACTTCTATTATTATATTGCAGGCTCATTTTCCATAGAATCTGTTTATTGAGTGATAACGAGAATGCTTTTGTCTAATGTAAAGGAGTTATGAATAGATAATGGATGCCGGATGAATAGATGATTGGTTTTTATTGGAAAAATTGTTACATAATGTGTTGCAAATGTAGATGTCTACACTAGATGAAGAATGTAGATTCTTCAATAGTTTTTGTCTAGCTAAGAAACTTTCTTCATAAAGATCGATTCTATATGAAGATAGAAAATCTAATCTACACAAAGATTATTTCTAAATAAAGATTCTGTCTACATAAAGATTCGATGTAGATGTCTACAATTCTACATTCTTTCCAGGTCCAGATCTTCTCCATCAGAGAAGAATGTAGAATTGCAGACATCTACATCGAATCTTTATGTAGACAGAATCTTTATGTAGAAATAATCTTTGTGTAGATTAGATTTTCTATCTTCATGTAGAATCGATCTTTATGAAGAAATTTCTGTCTCAGACAAATCGCCAGAATGCAACACTGGTTACATTTGAATAATATTATGATTTTTTTTTTCGAACTTTAAACAGGAGCTGTTAAAATTAAAGAATCTCAAACTTCTGCTTAAAATGCTTTTGTAATTTATGAATATTAATGATTTATCGATTCCAAATCCTGACTACCCCGTTGCTACTACGATACATTTTAATTGGATGCTAATTTACCGCCCTTTCAGAGAGTGTTTTGAGAGTCAATTTCTGCTTTTGATGGAAAAATTGCTTAGATCCAAATCATGCTTACCTCTGTGCCTAGATCCTTAAATTATCATTGGCTTGTAAGTTTTATATTTTCGGATTTAAGAGAAGCTACAAACGCTAAACGAAGCTAATGTTCATATTTAATATTTATAGACAGCCTATTGATATGCTTAACATAATTAGATCTCAAAAACAGCAAGTCATATCAAATTTCCTCAATGTTTATGACACATTTTGAATAAGAGCACTTTCAATCTTCCTTCTCAATTCCTAGAAAATGAACAAGATTTGAAGGTTGAATCAAACTTTAGTAATTCATCTAGAATTCAACTTTCAGAACTGCAAAACTGAAGCAAAAAATAAGTCTTTAAATCCCATAAAATGAATATCCAATGAATATTTATGATCCCTTTAAATCTTACACAACACTGTACAGTTATGAGTATAAAAATTACAAATCTCGATTCTTTTTTGTTCTGCAAAAAATGCTCATCCACCCTCACACAACAATTTATTTCATCATTTGTTAAAAATAATGGAAGTGATTAAGTGACGATATCACCGACTTGTGTTCATCCATTACATTATAAATATTACATTCATTTCCTATTAAAATTAATTTTTATGAATGATGAGATGTACTTCAGCAATGAAACAGTTCATTAGCTTGAGTGCCTTTTGAAATTTATTTAACATTGTAGTGAGATATCTGCGTATATTTTTAGATCTGATTAGGAGATGGAGTAAAAGAGATTTATTCATTATTTAATTGGTTTTTGTAGGCATGCATTTGCTGTGCTGGTTTGTAGAATGTGCGAAAATTGAGTTTTGATAGTAATTTGTTAAATCGTTAGTTTTTGGATTTACTAATCGTATTTGTTGTGGGATATGCATGAGTTGGAGCAATTGATTCATTGCCATGACGATTGTCGATGTAGGATTGAGTGTTTAAATGAGAATAAATGAAAATTTACTGATTAATCAAGTTGGGAAATTTAAATTTTTAATTAATTAGCTTGAAGCTAGTTATTGGAATCAGGGATGCAATTATCTAAGCTTTAAATGATTTATTAAATCTTTACTTGCTTTTTTTCTTAGATAAAGCAGACGTGGGCTCAATGCAACACTTAAAGAGCTACTAAAGACAGCTATTCAGTTCACTAATGACCCCAGCGTCCTTTTAAGTACATTCAACCCAGAAATACGTCAGTCTTCCTCAAGTCTTTTTCGTGATTTTCTCCTCGCCATACATTACGAGTCTTCGTAGATTACTTTCAGTGCTGAAGCATCTTGCGAGCGTCTTATCACATGTCCAGTCCATGTCATAATGCTGTTCTCGATACAATAAAATCTGAGGATATTTAAAAAGGAACAACTCCTTACTTCTGATGTAAATATTCAATATCATTACCAACTTTATCAACTTCAAGCATGTAAGTTTGCAAATTGACCATAAAAAATATGAATCCACTAAAGCATCAAAGACACACGATCTTTTGACTTGCCACACAAACACACATCCATGCTCAGCTCAAAATCTTGTTTCTGCAAACAAATCTACACAATTGATTGAAGTTGTTTCTATAAAAATCTATTTCGATCAAAAAATATAAATGGAAAAAAATCACAAAATAAATAAAAGTGAGTATACAAAAAAAAATACTCGAATGTGTAATAAAAGATTAATATTTTTCTGTACATGTATTTACACAAAAAAACTCGTGAATAAAAAGCATTTGTACGTCTTCAATAACGCAGAGGAAAGAGGGACAAAAATCTGTCGATAATTCTTTAACAATAATACGTAAACCACCTATACAATATGTAATATATTGATTCAGCATCACAATATAGCATTTTTCTTTTTAATCCACTTACGGCACTTAACGGAGCATTTAATGGAATGAAAGGACAGTAATGAAAGAGGATGAGGACAATTAACGAATCACATATGTGCACACAAAAAAATGTTTTCTTCATGTCAAACATGAAGGCGAGGAGAGAAAAATCATCAAAACACATCAAGTCATACATGCAACTAATGAATTTTTAAACATATTTCATTCGCCTGTTTGGGGGAACGTTCAGTTAACATGTAACGAAGAAATGTGGTTTTTTGACCATTTTTATAATTTTACATTTTTTAAAGATGCTTACTGAACTCCGTACTCGCCTTAAACTTTAAAATAAAAATTGTGGCTAAGAGATTTGAAAGGTAGAAACCACGCTGCTACTCATATCTAGAGAACTTGGTTTTTTTTATCTAGGGAGTAATATCGTCGAATTTAAATGATTTGTTCTGTTTGAGTCAAAAATCTACTTAATCTAGTTAAAATCTAATAAAAATTGTATCTAAGTGCAGCTGAAGTCAATTAGGTGTTACTAGGTTTGACTAGGCGTGACTAGGTTTGACTAGGTGCGACTAGGTGCGACTAGGTTTGACTATGTTCGACTAGGTGCAACTAGGTGCGACTAGGTGTAATTAAGTTTGACTAGTTTTAACTAGGTGCGACTATTTTCTAAAAGGTTAGACTAAGTGCGACTAGATTCGAATAGGTTTAAAATAGGTAAGACCAGGTGCAACTAGGTTTGACTAGATTTCAACTAAGTGCCTTGCGTTAAGCAATCAGGACATCCCCAAAAGTTTCATTTATTAAATAGGTGGAATTTTTTTTTGAAAATTAAGATTTTTTCTTT